AACTATAAAAACAAATCTCAAAATCTTCTTAATCATTTTCAAAGATAAGAAAAACTACCCATTTCAGGGTTTGTCATCATTTTATGTTTTGATTTCAAAAAAAAGGAGAGAATGAGAGAAGGAATCGGGATTTGAAGAAAATGTAATCCTTTTAACTTTAGTTGAAAATGTCAATCTCAGCATTTGGTAAACAAATCTTGCCATCATCAATGTAGGACAGCCCAAAATCTCATCTACCCTACAAAAGAACTCGAGAGATTATTACCAACAAAGATTTGAGTTGTTGGGGACACTAATTCTTAATACAAATAGGCATCAATCATGCAACATGAGCAGTCCTTTCGAACCAAATCAATAAAAGTATGACATTATGTGACCAGCTTGCTTGCTTGCTCCAACTTTGTTCTTTAATTTTGAATCGGAGAATGTTAGAAAACCCTTTATTCGAAGATTTAACTTATGAGGGAATAAAAGATATACAAGAGACTTTACAGTTATGTAGCAATCTTGAGCTATAAAATATTCAACACCATTTTCACGTATGTCTAACATAGAACATAGGGTCTAAAGGGTAAGAAACTGTAAATTACTAGAATTAATTGAGGTTTCTAAATAACCAAATCCAATTTGACATTTTTTTTTTTGTTGATTTTAAAAGTTTATGATTATAAACAAATAAAATTTATTTATATGCAATAAAAAATTAGGATTTAATTTTATCTTTTACTAAAATTCGAGAGTATATTTTAATATTAAGGCTAGATCCTTCGTCCTTAACCATGTAATATCGTGTTTGAGCAAGGAGGATATTTTGGATATGAATTAGGAAAGGCCCAAATCCTATGGTGGACTTAAGTGATAAGGGCAAAAGGCCATATCTAATTTTAATCAAATCCATACAATCCAACTTAATGAGGGAGGTTGGCTTCTGGAATTATTTCTTACCGAAAATGACGGTGGGATAAGACCGAACTTCCCTTCTTTTCCCATGGAACGGAAGTTCTCGTAAATATTATTACTACTAATGGATTTTAATGAATCTCTCAGTGTTGATTGAAAAAAAAAAAAAAAAAAAACTCCAAAAATATTGTAACATCATTTCAATCTTACTTAAGAGGGATTCTTGCTATAAAATATTTATGAGCAAATGGAAAGAATAATTCGAGTATTAGCTGCCCTTCATTCATCGATTAAAAGTTATTTTCTTGATTTGGCAATGTTAGGGGCAATCGTTTGTTCAGGCGCTTTTCGATTCTCCATTTTTTTATAAATCCACGTCTTACTCACTCTGAAACTTGAAACCGGCAATAGCTGATAATAAGTTTCACTCGTACTTCTTTATTTATAAAATAATTTTAAAATAATAAAAAGCAGAGTTAAATGGTAAAAGCAATTTTTTTCTGAAGCTTTTGAAACCCATCTGAATATAAAACAAAATCGAAAAGGAAATTTCAACTTCATGCAAATCTAAAAAATCTTTTTGGGTGAATTTGATCACAAGACAAGATTAAATAATGTTTTTTGGAGGATTAACATTTTGTACAAATTTATTTTAGTTGACAAATTCATGTGAAAATTGAACCTGAATTTGAAGGTCGTGATTGAGCTAATACACTTCTACAATTAACAAAATTACATATCATTTACAATTTGGAAGTCTTGATCATACATTTCAATAAAACAAGGTTACAAAGAGAATACTCAAAAATATTCTAAAAACCATTCTTGAGAAAAATTCTTGAGAAATAAGCTTTCATCAGCATTCCATCAAATAGCTGGTCTGCACATTCTAAACTTAAACTGATTATCCATTCAAGCTAAAAACAAATAATTAAATTGTGCACAATATTATGTCCTCTTGGTCAAAACATACTAGTATAAGGTAACTCAAAAACAAAATCACTTGCAAACATATCAAGATACAACTGTTTCATTGTTTAAGTTTGATATTTTTGAAGAGATTTGGACGAAGTAAACGAATGTAGACAAGCTGAGATTATGAGATTCAACCACGATAAAGATGTATGATCAAAACATTAAGAGCTTAATTGGGATTAGTTAAGTAGGTGACTCTCTCGAAGCACCTGAGCAAACAACTTAAGGTTATGAGACTTAAGCACGACAGATATGTGAACGGAACATTAAGAACCCAATTGGGAGCAGTTGAGTAGGTGAGTCTCTCGAGATGACACCTGAACTACAGAACAAACCAGGTGCGGATAGTACTCTTTAATATCGATTACTTCCAGCTTAATAAATAATAGAAAATAGTGTTGGTTATACTTTTACAGAAATGTGAAAACGGAAGGCTGGGTAGCGGCACCATTATCCATTATCCGCGATGAACAAATTCAATGTTTAAAAGTGAAGATACAAGTCTGAAGAATTGCTAAAAGAAAAGCAATATAGCTCACCAGACAGCGACAAAAGAATGGGAAAGGAGAATATAACAAGTTTACAGTTTTTACAAAACAAATTTACATTTTTTACAAGCATCCCATGACTGGTTTCAAATTTAAAAAATGGCATGATGTCACAAGTAGCATGCCGTGACTTTGTTAAAACGTGGGTATTAAATTTGAATATTCCATAAAATTGATTTAGATAAAATTAAAAATAATAACAAAATTATTTAATTATTATTAAAAAAAATGTTATTATAAATGTAATTAAAAAATAAAATTTTAATAAAATATTTGTATTGAATAAATTTTATTAAAATTAATATTTAAATTTAATTGACTCTAGGATAAATTCATTCATTATATCTAAAATGCATTGAAATCGTAACCTAGCCTAAGTAAACCGCTACCACTAGCATTGCCCATCGTCACATCAAATTCAAAACGCAAAAGCCAAAATTGTTATAAATTTACAATATTAGTATTTTATTACTCAGGAAAGTAGAATTGCATAATTTATTAGATGTTCCTTTAATATACTAACTAGGATCTCTTTGCCCTTTTTATATCCCTTACCATGCCACATTTATTTCAAACTTTGATATGAAGTTTCTGCTAATATTAGTATCTGTAACTACTACAGCTTTTCTTTTATGAAATTGGAAGTACAAAGATTACATTTTGTTCAAGAGAATTCAAAAAAATTTTTTGAAATTTTAATTATAAATATTATATTTTCATGTTTGATTCAAAATTACTCTATTTGAAAAATATATCAAATTTTTAATTATATTTAAATTTTGAAATTAAAAATTTATATCTAATATTTTAAGATTTTAAAAAATTATTTCAATTAAAATTTTGATTTAAATAAAAAATTTATTTTATGTTATTTTAAAAAAAAAAAAGTGAATCTAAAACTAAATTAAATTTAATATTAAACCAATTACAGTATTTCTTTGAACAAAACATCAAGATTAATATTTTTTTATATAAACTTTCATATATTGTATAATTATATTTACGACGTTTGTCACATAAAAACTTCATAATTAATATTAAATTTGATTATTACGGTATTTATTACTTAAAAACGCCATAATTGACACACGCCGTTTCTTTTCTTTTACCACGTAAAAACTTTTTCTAAAGCCAATTTATTATTAATATATATATAATTTATTATAATAATTAATTATATAGTAATAAAAGAAATAGAAAAAGTCATATCAATTCTTTATTAATAAAAAACTAAATATATAATAATAAATTTTAAGTGATTGATGTAATTAAAAGAAAAAGAAAAATTATTAGATATATAATAATAAAATTTTTATATTTATAAACCAAATTAAAAAGTTGATATATAAATGTGGTATACAAAACTTTTTATTAAAACTTATAAGTACACATATTTACTCAATTAAGGTGTTTTTATTAAATAATTATTGTAATTGTAATTGAAAATTTAGTCTAATTCTTTGATTTCATCAATTAAGTCATTTTTTGAAATGAAACGTCATAATTGAGAGAATTTTTTTTAAAACTATACTTAGTTATAGCATAATATGTAATAAACGTTGTAATTGACAGTTTGATTTTTTATTATTTAAAATACTCAATTACAGCATAATGTGTAATTAAACTTTGTAATTGATTATATTTAATTTTTTAAAAAATAACAAATTTTTATATTTTATTTGATGATAAACGCATTATTTGTCATTTGATTTTTTAATAAACAAAATAAAAAATTATCTACAAGTTGTCAAGGAGATTATGATAAATATAAATAATTTAATAAATAGATATTTTTTCTATTTAAATGATTTAAATATGAAAATAAAATACCTTAAAAATCAAACAAAATTCGAGTATCATACTTTCTTCTAAAATTTAAAATTTTGTAAATCAAATACCCTCAAATAATATTTTTTAAATTATAAGATCAAAATAATATATAGTACAAACCTTGAGCACCACAACTTAATTTACTATGATAATTATTCATAATACTAATACCAATATAAAGCCGAAGATAGTATCTAAGTTAATTAAAAGTAATAATGATTCAAATCAAATTAAATTCGATTTTTTAAAATATTATATAATATTATAAATTTTTAAAATTTAATTCAAATTCAAACTAAATATTCATTCAATCAAATTTTATTAATTTAATGATTTTTAAAATTTAATTTTTTATTTTTATATTATTTTAATATAAAATTTTAATATATTTTGACATAAAATTATTATTTTTATGTTATAAAAATTTAAAATATAAAAAAATTAAAATATATATAATTTATTTAGATTCAATTTCTTTATGAGTTTTTACTTTCCTATTCAAAATTCAAACTTAATATATATATATATATATATATATATATTTAAACTTGATTCAAACCGGATAAAAAAACTTAAACCAAACAAAATCGATTATTACAATTTGAATTCAAATTTTTATTTTTTCGGTTTTTTCTTTCTCACCCCTAATCCAAGTATAGACACCAACACTATTTTCAGAACTTGTAGCATTAAATCAAAATGAAAACTGATGAGATATTAAGTACTATATAAATGAAAACTGAGATATAAAGTACTATATAAAAGGCAATAAACTAACACTTCATAAACTTATGAATTATCCGAGCTTGAATGCAATCAAAATACACAAAAAAAGAAACCATGAGAAATAATCCAAGCATACTACTTTAACTGATAGCCTTATAACCCAAAAATCTTCATAGTAATAAAAACAAACTTAGTCAAAGAGACTGAATCCCATATCGTCGTCAGACTCTTCTTCAGGTTCTGGTTTCTTCTCCTCCTCAGCAGGAGCAGCAGCAGGTGCAGCACCAGCATCAGCAGCAATTGGAGCAGCAGCAACTGCAAACTTACTTGGATCCTGAATGCAAGGCAACAATAAATTTAGCTCACAATATTACAGAAATTCATAAACAATTTACCATATAAAGAGTCAACTCCATACCGCCAGGTACTCCTTCACTTTATCAGCCTGAGGAAAAGAATACTCTGTTGCAACTGCCACAGACAAGATATTCTTGTAGGCATTGATGAACATATGTGGTAGAGCAGCAAGGGTTGGATATGAGATGGCAAGAGACAGTGCGGTAACCATGGAGACACCAGATGCAAATTTCTCAATCAGGTCATCCTCGGTAAGATCCAGCACCTCAGGGCTAAAGACTGAGCCATTGTCATAAACAGACAGGACAATAAGACCATATGAGAAGGGCCTAATTCCAAGCTTGGCAAGAAGTGCAGCCTCAGATGACCCAACCTTATCACCCTTCTTGATAAGCTCCACAGGAGTGATAATTTCAACAGTACCCTTATTAATCTTGGTTGGAATATTGAGCACCTAAAGTGTAACAGAAAAGTAATGATCATAATCGTGCAATGACTCTAACAAGTCCCAAAATCATGTAAAAAGAACATTACTTTCAGCAAATAGCAGTACCTGGAAAAAAGAGGTCTGTGAAGGATCAAGCCCAGTGTTGCCGGGTGGAACAACCACATCAATGGGCGCAATAAGACCAACACGTGCAGGAGCTCCAACCTGTTCATGAGAAAATACGATACTAAATCCAAGAACTTTTTTTAGCAAAAGGGCAAAACCAATAGAAAGAAACACAAAATATATCAAATGAATTGAACTTCACAACATCAATAGGAAAATCATAATACTATGTTCAAATTTTTAAAACATGAATATTAAAACCAGAACCAAATGAACAATGAATTTAGTCGCAACAAACAGTGATACCTAATCTATTGTTTCCTTTCCCTAAGGAAAAATGAGATGGGTTGAAGTAAACAAGTAAAATATATTAACAAATGAGCTGGCAGCAAAGAATTAGTCTCAAAAGTATTTATAAATGCAACATAATAGCCATCGAGCTTTCTTTGCCTCTCAAAATTATAATATATTATCTATTTTACAGATAAGAAAGAACATGAATAGCAAAGCTCTATGCAAGTTATATTACTCAATGTTGTTAATTCTGTTTCGGTACTGGTTGATATGGCTAACACTCTCCAGTTATGCCAAAATACAATACATTTAAGAATAGTTTTTCATACCAGACTTAATATATTCAGTCAATTTCGATAAATTAACTTGTTTCAACCAGTACGTAAATATGAAATATATTTAGTAATTTTTAACTTATCTTTTATTTTTTTTAACTATTTTTAACCTAATAAAAATAAAATTAATGGACAAAATAACCCTTGAAAGTTTGATTTCTCTATATTTTAAATTAAATTAATTTATGTTACACTTTATTTTTCCAAACCAAAGTTCAAGAAAGTAATTGTGCTCTCTCTATAAAGTTTAACAATCCTAAAGCCAAGATTATTTTTTTCCATCTCTTTATTTTTATCTTAATATATTTTTACATGAAAAAGAAAAATACTCATTAAATATCATATCATCAAATTAACTGTTTAAAAATATTATGATAAAATAATTATATTATTTCATATATTTTAAACTTATTATTTGGTTTTTAAAGATATTATATATTTATTTTGCAGATTATTAGTAGTACTTTTATATACAAATCCATGTATATTTATAAATATACTTGTACTAAACCAAAACATCCGAAATATTATATCAAAATAATTGGTACCCAACATATACCATTTTTAAAGAAAATGAAAACGCTATTCAATTCGATATTAACAATCTTGATATTTCTTTCTTTTTTGTGCTAACTATACTAAAGTATAAAATTACATAAGAATCACTTTAACTTCCTATGACTGAACATAGCAAACAAATTTATAGTAAAAGAAACCCTTTCAATTTTCCATTAATTACACCATCACTAAAAAGAACTGATAAAATAATTCTAATATCAAATAATCCAACTTCCATTAGTGAAAAAAAAAGCAACAGTCACCCACCTTGTACTTGGCAACTTCCTCACTTACTTCCTTCAAGTCACCCTTTGTAAAGATTAAACCCACATTTCCCTGATACAAAAATACCCAGCAAAATAATTGCTTTATTTATTTATTTATCAAACAAACACTAAATCCAAAAATATATAAGAAAAAAAAAAGATCTAAACTTTAAGGTACCTGAAGCAAAGGGATAAGATTAAGGAAAGCCTGGTTGCCAGTCTTCTCTGCATGCATCCTAATCGACCTTTTCATCATAGTATTTTTACCCATGAGAACAACTGAGTCACCTCGCAGACCTTTGCGAATGTTCTGGAGCTGGTTCGAACCCACGTTGTCGGCTGCGACGATTAAGATCTGGGTGTACTCGTCTAAGAGCTGGCATAGCTTAGCGTCGTACGCGATTTTCTTGTCGGCCTTGGAGGGTTTCACTGCCATTTCGGGAAAGAGTTAGGATTAAAGATACAAAGTTGTACAGAGGGCAAAATCGAGGGCCAAGACGATGCCCGATGCTCCGTCAAGGCGGACAGCGAGGTGGCGCCGTCTCTTTAACCTCTGCTTCTATTTGCAAGTGATTGAGAGAGAAAAAACCTTGAGGGCTTTGGATGCTGGTGAAAACGGAGACTAGGGTTACAGTTTGTTTATATCGCTGGAGGACAAAAGAAAGGTGAATTAGGGTTTTGGGGTTATCTTTGATCGGACGGTTGAGATTTGTTTTGCATTTTTAAGGTTATGGTGGGCTTTGGGTCGCATTTGTTAGGCGTATTTTGGTTTTATGGGTTTGAGTTTTTATGGGCTTTGAGCTTCATATATTGCTAGATTGCAGCCTATAGTGATTTCTTTTTGGGCCAGACAGCCCATAGTAATTTCCGTTTTTAACATTTAAATTAAAAAATATTATTTTATTTGAAATAAAAAAATATTATTTCATATATTGTTGTTGATCTAGTTTTAATTTTTTATAAACGGTAATAAAAATCATATTAATTTTTTAATATATATTATCTTGATAAGATATACAACAACTTTTTAATTTTATGTTGTATAATTTCATACAAAAATAAATAATTTGTACTTATTTTTTCATAAAAAAATAAGTATAAAAATTTCACACAACTTTTGGAAAACATAATAAAAGAAAAAAATAAAAAAATATTTACAAATAAAATTAGCTAGCACTCAAATAACAAAAATACCTTTTTAGGTGGCTAACATGTTCACTTAACTGACATGATAAAGCCTTATTCGACAATATTAACAATGAAAAACCCCACTAAAACAATCACAAATCACCCAATCATTTATTTGATCCTCTACGATAAACTTGTCCCTCCAATTACTATACACATTCCTTAAAGTTCTTTTTTCAACAACAACCAAACTTCCTTTCAAGATAACTTATATGACATTGTTTCCTTGATGGCCTTCCTATGTAAAGATCAAACAATTAAGTGCTAATTACTACCATAAACACTTAAAAAAATTGAAAAGATCTCAGCCGTCAATAATAATGATCTTCAAAGTGATTGTAAACCTCTACCTCTGCCTCTTTTTTTCTAAATCCGAGTTTAATGAAAGGGTTTCCCTAATTAGGTCGAATACCCACGATGTTATATTTATCTCATATTGTGTATGAGTATAGTCAACTAATTCAAACTTAGGTCAATTAATGTTAAATTCTAGAAATTATAGTAGTACCATATTACGATATACTCGATCACGTGGTATTATTTTTTTATGTGTGATCTTGGTTTAATTCTGTATTTAAAGTCAAAATGAGATAGGTTAATTTTGACTAACATATATAGAAATATCCTTACTCTTATCTTATATGTATGAGGTCGGTTTATTAGGTTTCAAAACTTCAATTTTGGGTAAAGAGCAATTCCCTTTCATTTATTTATATACAAATCAATGTTTGGAGTTTGTAAGGTGGCATTAGGAAGCACAGGACGGTGTCATCACTTTCGTGGATCTCAATTGAACAAGATTAAGTTGTAACCTACATTCAAGTCAGTTTTTGTTTCAATTATAAATTGTGTTAGTGACTTTGTGAGGTTTAGGGTTTGGTATCAGAGCCAAACTAATCATGGAAGTCACTAACCAATTCTAACTATGTGGGCTTTGCCATTGAAGCTCGTTTTTAGGTTTTGAAATTTGGGTTTTTTAACCCATTATTATTATTATTATTATTATTATTATTATTATTATTATTATTATTATTATTATTATTATTATTATTATTATTTGTGCTTTTGGGTTTCAAATTATTGTTTTATTGTTGTGGAGCTTAAAAGGGGTTAAAATATGATTTTTTTTTTTTATTCAAAACAATGTGAAAATGGTGAGTTTTGAGCAAAAATGAGTTGGATCAAAAGACTTGAATTGTAGAAAAACGAGTCAAAAAGAAAACTTGCTTATAGTTTTGCTTAGAGCACGTGTAACTCATATGCCTACTTGTTTGACAAGCGTGTAGTCATATGTTACATGTGCTACAGACAGCTCATCTGGTACATGTCACGCACGTTTTAGACATCCCTTAACATATGCGTTTGACTCAAAAATTAAAAAAAAAAAAAGAAATTTAAAAATTTTTTAGTTTGGTTCTATTTAAGCTCTTTTCTTTTTTGTTAATTTTGGGCATTTTTGGTTTATTAAATTAGGCCATTTGGTTTTTTGTTTACTTGGAACCAATTTCAATTTCTCTTATAATTTTTGGGTTTTTTTTTACAATTTTTCCCTTTAGACTTTTTTTTTAGGTCATTGATATATAGAAATTATGAGGGTTTTATTATTATTGGGCTATTTTGCTTATGCCAAATTTAATTATTAAATTTTGGGGCCATTAATTTAATTAATTTTCACCATTTTGCTTAAGGCTGTTTTAGTTGAAATTTTTGCAAAATATTTTGGTCTAAAATTAATGGCTTCATTTTATAAAATATTAAGCCTAATTAAATTGGTTTTAAATGAATTGTTTGGATATTTTGTTTAGTTTAATTCTGTGAATTTAGATTACTTAATCCATAAACAATTCATTTAATCCCATAGAAGGCTATTCAATTAATAAAATTGTTTCATTATTTAAATATTCACTTTAAAATCAAATTAAGTGGTTTTGTTAGACTTATTTTGTGAATATAAATCTAGATATAGCATATTTCTATTGTAATTAAATTTTGATATGACAATTAGGTGAATATTCCTAAATTACACAAATCATTACTCAAATTTATTAGAGCCAGCCTATTATGGGAATAATTATGAAAACTTTCAGGATTTTTTTCGTAATTTATTTTTGAATAATAATAAGACAATTCTTGTGATAGTTGCAACATTTATTGAGGTTTCTTAAGGTAATAAGACCTTTATTGTTGGATTGATTATTGTCTTAAGGGATGTTTAGGAAATAAAGGATTCTAATTGGGATATAATGTGATTTAGTTATCCTATCGATAACAAATGATTCCAAGTTTATAACTGACCAGCATTGTATTATCTTTTGTAGTATGCTTTGAAAAAATCTTAAATTATGAATTTAATAGAATAATATCATTTTTGAGTTATTTTATAAAACCTCCAATCTTGATCTTATCTTTGTAACTATCGTCTAATAGGATCGATTATAATAAATAATGTGTATCATTTTTCACTATTATGGGCGTAATAATCTTAAATGTTGTCCTAAGACTTGATTACTTTCCATACCCACTCGGGTGATAAGCCCATGTTATTGAGCTCAATTGAAGATAAAATGAAGACATTCTAATGAGAATTATCTTTTGATATATGGGCATACCATTAGTAATAGCTTTAGATAAGAGTGTCCTGCACACTGATAATTAAAGATGCCATTAGAGATATTTTGAAAAGTTTCATAAGGTTGAATATCAAACCTAAACTGTTCATCACTGTCATATTAGATGGGTAAATGGTTTCCTTGAGCACATTCTGAAAAATGACCAATGTTATAGTAAGAGCTCATTTCTACTATTATAGATTTTTAAACCATTTTCTTTTAAGGGGGATAGTGTGAAATCCGCTTATAAAGTACAAAAAGAAGCATGGGATTTAAATGTCATAAGTGCTATTGACATTAGGAAATGGAGATATAGTATATTGGTAAATATCAATATGTCTTATTAATGATAAAGGTCAACACCACTACCAAATAGAACAACATTGAGAAAGGTTTCAGTAAAAAGTCATTTAAGAAGAAGAATTATCTTAAGCCTGCTCTTTATTTTGATTCCATGAATGCTTCTAAACTCTAAATCAAATAAATTTTGAAATATGTGCCACGACTATTATAAATCAAGCATAAGAGAGTAAACTGTAAAAGTTTTTTGGATTATAAAATAAAGTTAAACTGTATTAACCCTTTTGGTTTGAATCTAATCTAGATATTGTGCCTTTTGCTTTTAGTGGTTGGGTGTTGGTGCTAGTATTAATAAGCCAAATTTTGAAATTAACAAGCAACCAAAGACCAAATAAAAGGAAAAAAAGTTATGAATATGGGTAATCTTCTTTAGTTGTGCATATAGTAAATAATGTGGTCATTGGTTCTAATCTTGAAAAAATAGATAAGAAGTCTACCATGTTATGGCAAAGTATTAGAGACATTTTGAATTTGGAACATGTATAGATTACATTAAAAGAAATTTCACTACTTATATAAGGACACAATTAGCCTATATGTAAAGAAGTTTATGAACTTATCTATATCGATAATTATAGGCCATTTTCACTTATTACTTTCAGTGGATATAAGTGCTTCATCATCATCACTAAAAACCATTCAAGTTTTCAGTCATATGGAGTGAAAAACCTAATTTTGTGGAAACCTTAAAGTTTTTTAAAAATTTATTGCTAAATTTTTGAAAATACAAAATTAAGGCAATAAGATCAAACATGGTTGTGAAACTAGGCGTAATCCTGGACTATTCTATTAAGTCTTCTACAGGATTGTGGTGTTGACGCCTAGCATGCTATGCTTGAAATATTGAATGAAAATAAAGTTGCAACAAGATGCACCTACATATTTATGTATATAACACGATATATGCTAAGTTATTTCACATTTTTAGATTTTATGTAGAATGAAGGCTTTAAGACTGCAACATTCAATCTAAATAAAGCTCCAAGCAAAACTAATTCCTAAATATTGTTACAAATTATGGTCAGACAAGAAGTTGATTTTAGTATTGTTTTCTGTATTTATGGTTATAATAATGACCTACAACTTGCAGTTAAGGAAACTTGATTGAAAAACCATCAGCAGCATTCTATTGGCTCGTACATCAACTTTAGAGATTTTAGATTCAATCATCTATCATATAATACTAGAATCATCAAGTCTTACTATGCAATCTATCCAGATGATGACTTAGATACTGGAACTATTAGGTCTTAAAGTCTACAAAGTCATTTTCAAGAATAAACATGTTGTTGTGCCAGCCCCTTATGTGATTTAGCTATTTATAAAAAATGCCACAAGCGGATGAAACAATAATAGATCCTAGCAATCTTATTTTTGGACCTATACCTAAACTTATAGAGAAATACGAATAAGGCATTCATGTTTTCTGATTTTGTTACGTTTCAAGATACTTTTGTGTTTCTAACTTTTAAGTTTGATGTTTGCCATATAAGATGAAATTGTATATATGTTGTATAACAATGAATGGGATCTGGA